TTAGAAGCCGGAAACTGTGTATCCTGCTACGGCACTCACATGGGCATGAGAGCTGGACCTGCATAAGCACCAGGAATCAAAAAGCCCACGCTCCTATCGGAGATGTGTTCTGTCGGACGTCGTTCCCACTGCTGCCTGCCTGTCAGAGGATTGGACGGGGCTGGGAGGCACTGGGCAGCTCGCCGGGATCCCGGGGCCAGTCCGTCAGAAGAGGCCATGGGATGCTCTTCTGAAACCTTTGGAGCGTACTCACCATTCGCAGCAGGGTGCTGGCTTGGTGGAGCCTTTTGGCTTGGGAAAGGCTGCTGGTTTGTTTTAGAGAACTGCACTGACACTTGGCTGATTCCAACCACTGAAAAGCAGGGTTTTCTCTTCTTTGTATTCCCCTCGTGAAATTTTCTGTGCTGCAACTGTTATGCGCGTGTCAGTTTTGAAGACAGAGGTTTGTTTGGCCCCAAAGAAGCAGCAGCACATGCTGCGCGTGGAGTTGCTTTAACCTCTGGAGCAGCAGGTCCTTACCCAGGATTTGTCCTCACCATCCCATCCCCTCTTTTGAGGGTGCCACGTGAGACAAGGACGCCGCTTGCTGAAAGGATACAGAGATTTAAGACATCACAGAAGTGTCTCCCCACATGTAGCGTGTTGCTCTCCTTACCCATTCTTCTCTGGGGGTGCTCTGTGAGGCAGGCCCCCCCTTTTGCTTTACACTTTTGCTTTGCAGTGGCAGGAGAAGAAGTCCCATCCGTGACGTTAGGAGACTTGGTTACTGCCAACAAATGTAGTTAGGCCAGTGTCAAATAGCAAATGTCTGTGACAAAATGCAGCATTCAGTTGGTAACTGCAGGAGAGGAAGAGGGATGAGAAGGACAGGTTTGCTGTAGGTATATGGAATGAAATTTGTTTTACTGTTTTACCTTTAAAAGATATGGAAAGATAAATATCGACTGTCGAATTAAAAGGATGTTGTTTAGGGTGCAAAATGAAGAACTCAGAAAATGTCACACTTATGGTATTTCACGTGACTTTTTACCTACATCTGTACTGTGAGTGCAGTTGATCAGATTTCCGATCTCTCTGGAGTATACGAAGACAGTAGTTTTGGGGAAATATTTCCAACAATATTCGGGTAAGGCCATAAATGTGACAAAACAAGATTATGATTTTTCATCCCTGGTGATTTATGTTTCTGTGCTTTTATATTTCTGTGCTTTTATATTTCTGATGATTTATATTTCTGTGCTTACCAGCAGTGAGGCTCGTACAGGTCAGTCTCCTGGCCCTGCAGTGAATGAGCAGCTCTGGAACTGGAGGCACTGGTCTGCAGAGGGATATTGTGTGGACTCCAGCACCCTCTGATGGTGCAAGCCCTGCTCACCAGATGTTCCTGTATCCTTACAAGTGACGGTGCTGGTAATAACGAGACAAATTTTGCTGCAAATGGCCACTTTTTCACGTGGTGGCAGTTAAACGCTTTGTAATATTTTAAACAGCTTTACTTGCAGTCTAAGCTGCCAGAACTTGCTGTATACTCCATATACCCTGCCCGTATTTCCACATTAAGTTATGACAACATTTTAAAGTGGGGGATGGGATGACTGAGAAATCGGAGAGAGCGGGAAGCAGGTGATGAAGGAGAGCAACGAACGACGCCATGCATGCATCTCCCAGTCAAAGGCAGGGCAGGTGCTACCCGATAGCACCAAGAAAGCTGGGAAACCTCTGGGGGGAAAAGCCAGTCCACTTTGGTTTCAGGATTAGTGGTAGGATAATTGTCGAAATCTAACTTGTGTCGCAAAGCTGTGTAGAGAGATCTGAAAACGGGTATGTACAAGCAGCTCTGCTCACTTTGTTAGAGCTCTGCCAATTTACATTGAGTATGTGCTAGCGGTTTCCTTAATTTACTTTATCCACTACAAGATAGTATCATGATGTTGTCTACAGGTGTTGTGGCTAAATGTATGATGGCACTGTTGTATGTGTGCACAAGCTCATGTAAAATTCAGGAGTCCCAGTACAGAGATGCAAAGTCCTGCCGAAAGTAACAAAAAATAGGTTTTCCTGGAGTTTCTGGGAAGGCGTTAATGTGTAAATGTGGCAGCTTATCACACGTAGTGGAAAGTTCTTACTGAATATAACAAAAATACAGCTTGCTCATAGTTTAGTACCAGTCAATCCTCATCACACTTTCACCATCTCCAAGTGCTTAGCTGAAAAAATGGGGAGGAGAAGGGAAAGCTTTTATGAAACACGGCTCTCTGACAAGTCACCAGAAAAAATAATAGGATCCCTTGTCAAGTCTGAAGATGATCAGCTGCATCTACTTTTTCTTTTTAAAAGTATTCCCTAATCCTGATTCTTTGGCCCGTTAGTCCTTTGAACTTTCTGATACAACAGCACTCAAACAAAATTGCTGAATTCCGGCCTGTCTGAAACTAACAGTGAAGGCTACCGAAAAACTCAGCTACAGCAAAACCTGCCGCTGAAAGCTGGGCGACCTGCGGTTTGTGCTGCAGTGACTACACACCGCAGGCTGGGTGACAGCCAAGACATTAATCAGTAGGTACGGAGCTCTGCCTAGCCAGTCTCTGGACCAGCTCTCTTTTTTCCCTCTGCAATCAGCTGTTGAATTTTCATTTTTCTGCAAAAGCATGGTCTAACTCCGCTGCATGAGCTGGGCTGCAGCATTTTTGATACAAAGCCCAAATCTGATATGATTAGATTTCGCACGTAAGATTTATCTACTTACTTAGAAGTATGGTATGTGATAGTCCGAGATACGATCAGGGTAGGGAGAGTTGCTGTCTTTTCCTACAATAAATGACAAAACGGGGCAGCCTTTAGGCCCAGAAGCCTCTCTCAGATCAGCAGGGAAGTCAGAAGCCAGGGCTGTCAGCTGCCAGTCAGCGTTGGGTTTGGTTCCCTTTTTAGGCCACAGATTATCACAGCTTCTTGGGTGTCTCTGTCAGTGGGGAAAGTATCTTGCGCAACTTGGATTTTCTGGGTTAGAATATAATTTTGAAAGGCTTACTGCAGTCTCTGCACAGTCTCACGTTCAACACTGGAAATATAAACTGCGTTTCCAGCTGTGTTTTTGTTTTTTACAGGACAATACAATGTAACTTTTAAGAGCTTTTTCTCCTATGAAAGATAGCATTTCAGTGAAATTGGTACATGTAGTCCTTTGGGCTTTTCTGCAATAGGTAAATTGGTGTAAAAACTGGCATGTGTTTCCTGAGTTTGTGTTGTTTCCTGATGTATTTTAGCTGTTTTGGGGTCAGTGACAAAGCCGGTGCCATCTTAGCTGGTGTCAGTCTTGCTACAGCTCTTTGTAATGACGTGTTCCCTGATGCGCTGCTGAGTCACCCCCTGCCTTTCTTCAAGCACCCAAAAAAGTTACGTTTTTTGAGAAACAGCCAGTTGTGATGGGCCTTATTTAAATTACCCTAAAGCTGCTAGTACTTGATTTTCTTGCTTATCTGCCCGCCTTAGTGCTGCAGTCTTTGACAGTAGTTTTAAATAGTCGAGCTACACCTGTGGACGAAAGCACAGCTTTCTGAACTCTGCAGAAGTTTGCTCCTTGGTTTAAGGAGCGGTGTGTGATGTGTGTTAGCAGGAACTGCTCCCGGTCAGAATGAAGCTTGAAGATACAGGTATTACTTAGGGTATCCCACGTCTCCCTAAACCTCTCGCTTAAGTCAGCCTGCTTGGAGCTGTTGGAGTTGCTGTGGAGCCCAGTGAGGCTGCACATCCAGGGAGGACTTTCTTTCCTTTTTAAAATTGGCTGAAGCGCAACTTTAGATTCAACGTTTATTTTAAATAACATGTGTAGTGTTGATTTCTGAAAAGGGCACAAGGTGCATTGTAGCAGTTATATCCAACTCCAGCTGGCAATTTCAAATGGGGAGCTACCATATGAACCACAAGTGCCAAAAAATACGTTATAAGAATCACAAGATTTCAAGGTCAGTTGGTTATTTTTGGTTTTAAAGAGCTGTATTTGGGAATCTCTTACCTCAGATGAGCTCATGTTTATATGACTAAGTCTCCCCTGGAAGCCCATGAAACAAAAGAATTTTGAAGATAATCCATGTGGATCTTAGAACACATAGAAAAACTGGCCGTCGAACAAAAAAAATAGTCTTAACTTGATTTACAGAGGCATTATCTGAAAATGTCTGCTCACTTTTACAGTGTTGCACTGCTGTCTGTCGAGAGGTTGCCCTCCTGCTTTACATACGCACGCGCAGGAGAAACATGCCATGGATGTGCTATATGATCATCTGTATGATTAGCAGCTCTGAGATTTTAGGAGAGGAGATCTGCGAGTGGCTTCAGGCAGCGATTTAGCTCACAAGAATGATTTTTAAATCGTACTGTTTGTAAAACGTATTGCCAGCAAAAATGTTGGCTTCTCAGCTCTAAGCGGCGTGGGGCAAGAGGGAGAAAGCAAGCAGGCATTCACATCTTCCTCTTCCAAATCCTCAAAACATTGAGTGTGTGTGTCCAGAATCCCCTCCCTGAATGCCTGGAAGGGGGCATTTCTCTTTCCATTGACTCTCTCTCTATATATATTTATATTAAACACAGATTGTGGATTTCACAGTCTAATTCAGATGTCTGAGATTTTAGGTTTACACGCAGCTCAGGCCAACATGTGTTCTGGTGTCTGCAAAACACTTTTCCTACAGCAGGCACTGTCCAAAAGCTTGGTTAAGCTGGACCACCCACAGAAAATTAAAACAAGTACCAAAAATTTCAGGGTTTGTGCTAGGAGAGTTTGGTAGCCTGAAGAAGAGTAGAACAGTGACTGTACCAGCTGTGGTGGGTGGAGAAGAGGTTCAGAGACCTGTCACCTCATTACTGAACAAATTCTTTGAGACAAACAGAGGTTGTAGGCCATCATCTCCATCTTAAAATACTGAAAGAACTAAATGCAGAATTACAAATGCAGCTGAGGATTTGTAGCTGGTGTCTAAATTTTCAGGGATTTGGGCAGGAGAATGGCAAATGTACCTGCCACCCTCAAAGAGAGAGAGAAGTTGACAGGAGCAGGGCAGACCTGCGAGTTTGATACCAACAACAGGGAAAATCAAGTTCTGAGAGGAAAAGATGAAGAAAAAAGAGGTGACGGGAAAGCGTGGTAGATTACCGCAGGGTTTTATCAGGACTACATTCTGTTAGATAAATCGCTCTCTTGATGAGAAAACTAATTTCCTTAACGGGGGCAGTAGAGTGGATTTAATTAACTGAAGCTTTAATTCAAAACACATTACTGAATGTGGAAACGAGGGGGATTCCTACAGGAATTCAGAGGGGTTGTGGAGCAGACCGGAGGATTCATCTATCTTCTCCTTTTTTACGTTACATGCCATGATGGCAGGTGGTTGTTGGGGATGCTGGTTTTGTGCCGCAGGTTGCCTTGGATCAGATCTCCCACGTGTATCCACGAGTAACCTCGGCTTGCGCGTAGGTAAATTTGCAGAGGGCAGGATCGCCCGGCAAGAAAAACAAGCCAAGCTGAACAGAACAAAGCACAAAACCGTATCATCACTGGTAAACAGAGCTGTTAGTAAGGAGAGTCATCAGAGAACGGACTGCTGAATTGCCTGCTGTAGGTGACCCTGCTTCGGCAGGGGGTTGGACTGGATGACCCACAGAGGTCCCTTCCAACCTCTACCATTTTGGGATTCTGTCACTGGTGCGTTTCACCGCTGCTCCCGCTAGGGGGCGCCGCAGCGCCGCGCC